GGAGACGGCCCAGCGTCTGCATCCGTCGCAGCATATCGGCCGTTTGTTTCCGGACGATGTGTCCCTTAACTAACGCCTGTAGCTTCACCAACGCCTTCAACGCTCTTAACGCCCTCCTCCCCTGATTTTCCACCATTGTACCCAAATTAAAAAAAAAAAAGATCTAGGGTCAAAAAATTCACATTTCAATTATTATATATATATATATATATATAATAGATGTGGGCTATCAAGGAGACAAATTTACACTTACAGACAGCGAAGGGGGTAAGATTAGGTTACGTGACAATTTCTAGGCTCTTGACATTACTATTAAATCAGAAAACAAAATTTGGAATAAAACTATGTTGAATTTGTGGGAAATCAAACAGATTTTAAAGAAAAAAGCATTCTTTTTATACAATCGCAATTAAATTCCGTGTGTTATGGAAAATATATACTAATTCCGAATTGGAACAACGACAAATTAATAAATAGAGGGAAAATACGCAACTTTTTAAAGTTTGGGGAAAAATATAAAATATATAAGTAATACTAATTTATGTGTTATTATGGGGCCAATGCAATGCAACTCCGTGAATGGAAAAATTATTTTTTTTAAGAAAATCAACGTCAGACAGCTAGTCTACAGTAAATATATAATAAAGGCAAGAAGCTGTATTCAAAATTTTGGGGAAAAATTGCAATTCAAATTTAGAAATGTGCAAGCTTTGGTTAATTTGATTTCTTGGTGGTGGAAGGGAAAAAAAGGATGAAAGAAAAAGGATTTTCTCGAGATTCCTGCATTTTCTCGGCAGCCAAACAGAGTAAAGATTTGAAAAAAAAAGTACAAACTAACCAGGTAACCACGGAAAGCGGACTGAATCTTCACCGCCGCCTTGTACTCCTTCGCCCGCCGCCGGTTACTCCCTCCACCGCTCCTCCCGGCTGTCGTTCCGTTCGTCAGCCTTACAACCTCCGCCGCCGCATGAGCGGCCGCGAGTGCTGCCTCCGCCACGGCGGCG